GTGTGTGTGTGTGTGTGTGTGTGTGTGTGTGTGTGTGTGTGTGTGTGTGTGTGTGTGTGTGTGTGTGTGTGTTCCTGCTCTGTTGATTAAAGCGTTTATTTTTACAGGGTTTCGTCTCTTTTGCTGTTTTTCTCAGCCTCGCTGTAAATCTCACGTGATTGATCCGTATGTGTGTTTAATGGCTGCCCTCACACACAGTCACTACGGAAACACATCCATGCCACTAATTGACTGCATGAAACTGATAACAGACACATTGATCGGTCTCCAGGGGAGACTTCAGCTTCTCTTTTATTTCAATTATTTTCACTCAAAGCAAATATTTCAAGCATCTTAAACCACAAAATGTATTTATTATATTTTGTCTTTGAACAGACTAGATTCTTTGAAAACTGATCAACAAATAATAGAGAAGTTATTGATCCTCTGAAGATAAACGATAAAAACTGCATCTGCCTGGTGAAACACGTTTCTGTTCCTTATAGCGATCCGTCAGAGTGTGTGTTTCTGTGTGTCCATCCTTCAGCATCATTGCATAATACAGTGAAACACAGAGGATTAATTAAAGCATGAGGTGAGGTGAAGATGGTCACCTGAACGGTTTCCTCTAATGTCTGAACCTGGCCGTCGTTTCTCCAGAGTTCCTCTCCGGGTCGGTTTTCCCGTCTTCACTTCCTTGTCTGGAAGAGCAGAGGACAGGAGCAGAGTAACGTCCAGCAGAGCTCAGATTCAGTCAGTCCAGCTCTAATTCGACCAAACGCATCCAGGAGGCCAGGCCTGCTCAGTTTTGGTTCCTGTTCAGTTTTGGTTCCTGTTCAGTTTTGGTTCCTGCTCAGTTTTGGTTCCTGCTCAGTTTTGGTTCCTGCTCAGTTTTGGTTCCTGCTCAGACGTCAGCGCTGCTCCAACCTCCCTGATGAAGATGAGCAGAAGTACATTCCACCTTCATCGTATTTGCATTTCTATGGCCAGTTTTATTAGAAGCTTTTAGATCAAGGACGTCTTTGTGCTGAAGAATCTCCTTTTAAAGACTGAACTAATTAAAGTTTCCTCAGTGAGGAGTGGAAGGTGGAAACAGCAGCTGAGTTTCCTCATCAGTGAAGCTGAAGTCTGATAAGCTCGGAGCGATGAGAAGCCGGGCATGATGGGAAACTGCAGCAGGCGCTGCCAGGCTGCTGCTGTGGCCTGTTAGCGTCGGTTAGCGCAGCTTCTGCTGCTTTACAGCCTGAAAACAGAGAAAGCAGCTCCGGTTCAGTCTGAACGTTTAGGTTTGTAAAACTAGACGATCAGTGTTTTCCAGATTCATTAGAAAACTGCAAACTGAAAGATGAAATTAGACTTTTTGTAATTGTTCTGTCATGAAGTTACTCCAAATATTTCTGTACTAAGATCCTCCATGTTTTGGCTGTTACTAGAATAAGGTTGTAATATTGGAAGAATTAAGTAGTAATTAATCAAAACACATGTATGAAAATAATTAAATTGAGAAATGTGAAATTATACATTGATTTTTATTTTACAGTTAGAATATTTCATCTTTGAAATGAACTGAAACCAACTATTGATTATTCAAGTCCAAAACTTTTAATCAAGTTTTTTTCTGACTTTTTTCTGGCTCTCTCTCTTTGTCCGGCATCAATACTCGTACTAGTTGTGTTTGTGAATAAAGGACTTAAAATAGTTTGGGATCATCGTAAAACCTTCCCAGACTGACTGACAGTAACGTCTGTTTCTCTGAGGTGGAACTCCTCCTGTCATCCAGGTTTTCTCTGAGCTCTGTCCTGTCCGCGCCTGCAGCGCCGTCTGACCCGTTTTGTCTCGGCAGGTGAACCAGGAGAACGTGGTGAAGGTGGGCCACAGGCAGGTGGTCAACATGATCCGCCAGGGAGGAAACCGGCTTCTGATCAAAGTGGTGACAGTGAGCCGGAACCTGGACCCAGAAGACACGGCGCGCAAAAAAGGTAGGAACCCACTTCATCACCCAGGAAACAGCCATGTGACTGCTGGTGCTAACAGTTTTAAAGAGAAATAGCCTGAAGTTTAATCGCCTTAGACTTCTTTTTGTTAATCTGATTTCTTCCCTAAATGGATCAGAGTAAAATAAGAAAATGAAACTGAGCAGCTGAAGCATCTGATTTTAAACTTGAACTTTTGAACTTTTCCACATTTTACCACAAACTTAACAGTTTGACCAGGACTTTATGTTGCAGTGGTAAATTTTAAAGTTCGTCTGCATTCAGCCGACGTGTCGACAGTTTGGAAACCAACTTATTTCACTCCGTCTTCGGCTGAAACGATTAATCATGATGGATCGATTATTGGAATAATTGACAACTAATCTAATAATGAATGAATTGTTAACTGAAGAATACAGACTTGAATCTGTTGAAAGAGCAACAAACTCAGAGCAGTAAGAAAAAAAACTGTACAAAGAAACAAGCATTTTGCATTTAAGATTTAAAAACATCTTTGTCTGTAAATAGTTTTTTCAGATCTCCAGTTTAACTTCTCCTGGCTCAGATTCTGTACATAAATGTCCTAAGCACCTTTTTCTTTCCAATTATGAATCAGTTGATTAAATAATAATCAGCATGTCAGTCCGACGCTGTGCTGATGTTCAGCCTGCAGAAAGGTTTGAACTTTTCAGCTGCAGATTTGCTTCTAATGATCAAATAATCACTAAAGGAATGATGTTACTGCATTTTAGGCCATAAAATCTTATTTAAAATTGAGTTAAATTATGTGTTTATCTGCATCTTTTAATGCATTCTTAATGTATAAAAGAGATTTAACTGATTAGTTAAAAGTCTGCAACGTGATGAAGACATGAAGAGTGATAATTTTTTTCATGGAGTTAATCATCAGATTATTAGCTCCATCCGTCTTCTCATGAAATCTGCATCTGCTTCTCTGTCTGCTAAAGAAAAGCATCCGCAGCATGATGCTGCCACCACCGTGTGAGCAGTGTCCACCGCTTTAAAGGTTTCTGTTTCGGTCTCCTCTGCCTCTTCCTCAGCTCCTCCGCCGCCGAAGCGAGCCCCCACCACCGCCCTGTCCATGCGCTCCAAGTCCATGACGTCAGAGCTGGAGGAACTCGGTAAGAGCTTCACGGTTTTCTGTTTGATGCTGGAAACGTGAGGGAGTGTGTCTAACAGCACCTCTGTCCTTCCTCTGCTCCTCTTCCTCATTGGTTGACCTCTGTAGTGGATAAAGGTAAGCAGTCAGCACCTGCAGCTTCCTGCCTTGCAGCGCTGAATGAGGCTTTGCTGTGGTTTTGACTTGATGAAAGAAGGAAAATGCTCGTTCCTCCCTCCTCATCTCCTGCCCGCCGTTCCCATCATGCATGGCGGTTTGACCTCTGCGCCTGTAAAGCTTGATATCAGTGTGCTGCTGCAGCTATTCCTGTTGTATCTCTGTGTGGTGAGGAGAAGCGCTGAGTCGGCAGACAGTCAGCGGATCGGAGACCAGAGGACGGAGCTGAGGGCCGAGTCAGGGAGGGAAGGGTTAAACTCAGATGGTTTCATGTTGGTTTACACATTTTACAGGTTTTCTGGTCTGAAACTTTCAGCTGATGAGAGATGCTCTGGTCTATATTTATATTTTCGTATTTCTGTTTCCTGCCGTCACATTTTGCTCCCGTCCATCAACAGATGGAGGCGATGAAGATGAACCGTTTATTTTGCACAGTTATAGGAGCTAATGATCAGATATGTTGGATTACACACATGCACTGCAAAAGCAAAATTTTAACAAATAATTTAGTCTAGTTTCTGGTGCAAATGTCTCAAAACGCTTAAGATAAAACTAATTTACAAATAACTTTTCAGAAAGACACTGATATAAAATGACTGGTTCTCTTATAACAGAGGTTCCCAAACTGTGGGGTGCGCCCCCTAGGGGGGATGAATGGGAAAGAAAAAACAAACAACGATGAACGCTGTGTGTGCTCCCTGTTATACTCTTACATCCCCCCCCGACACACATAACATAACAGGAAGACCCCCCCCTGCCCCCGCTCCTATGTCCTGCTGAAAAGTTATTTGTGAAATTCATACTTGGTAGGATTTCATGTTTTTTGCAGTTTCATGTTTGACCGACCCGAAGGAACAGGTGGGTCGACTGGTGGCGATTAATTACTAAAATAGTCATGAACTTCAGACTGAAGAACAAAAGGGGGGGGTATGTAAACTTGTGGTTTCTGCTGAAGGAATTCTGGGAGCCAGGAAGGTTTTAAATTAGCAGTGGATCAGATGTGATCTCTGATTTTCTGAACATAAACTGAGATCCTGCAGGAGGAAATCTGGATGAACGCAACATGAAATTGTTTGAATTTGTTTCCTGCTCTGAAGATTTGTTTTTCTTCACCTCTTAAGCCACATTAAGGAAGAAGAAAGGTGGTAAGTTTCCTTTAGGCATGTTTGCTCTGGTTTTCTGTCCTTCCTCCCGCCTCACCTCCACGTCAACAACTAACAGTTTTTTTCTTATTTTGGTGTTTTCTTTAATTTGACTCACTCAGAGTGAAACCATGCAGTGTGTTTTTTTGTCAACCTGCATGATTTACAAGCTGTCTGTGATTACAGCTGCTCTGAACGTCACAGTGGTTCAGATGTTGCATGATTAACTGGTAATGATGTCAAACTGAAACGTGTTGCTTGCTGAAAACCCCAGATGATGGAGTGTTTCTCCTCATGACTCAGAAACAACCTGCAGGAGTTGGTGTGTGTGTGTGTGTGTGTGTGTGTGTGTGTGTGTGTGTGTGTTTGTGTGTGTTTGTGCAGGAGTCAGTGTGTGTGTGTGTTTGTGTGTGTTTGTGCAGCAGTCAGTGTGTGTGTTTGTGTGTGTTTGTGGAGGAGTCAGTGTGTGTTTGTGCAGGAGTCGGTGTGTGTTTGTGCAGGAGTCGGTGTGTGTTTGTGCAGGAGTCGGTGTGTGTTTGTGCAGGAGTCGGTGTGTGTTTGTTAGTGCTGGAAACGGTGTGTTTGTGCATGTTTGTTTTCTGTTTTCCGTGTTTTCCTGTCTTTTTGTGTGTTTTTCTTCCAGGAAATGTTTCACTCACAGATTGGTTTCCAGGGCAACTGTGCTGCATGTGGTCCAACTGGGAGACAGTTGAGACAGAGATGAAATGTGTATCTTTCTGCTGTTCTGTGTCGGTGCTGCTGTCATTGATGGCCCTTTCCTCTGCTCTGTGTAGATGCGCAGAAGAAGAGGATTGTTTTCCAAGTGACTCTAAGTAATCACTCCCTTAATGCATGGAAGCTTCCTCCATCCTGCGCAGGCAGAGATCAGGGTTAGCATGGTCTGTCGCTGGATAAAGCTTTCCAACCCTACTGTATTTCACATGTCGATTTTACATCGCAGTAAATTCATATCTGGTCCTCATCAGGTCTTAAAACGAGGAAAATGAAGTAATTCATAATCGCTCAGATTTATTACACAGTGACATAATGAAAAACCTTCTAAACAGGAAACAATTATTTTTGTCTCTGTATGTGAAGCAGCTTCTCATTTCCACAGATTTTAAGCCTGAGTATATTTGAAATGGTATTGCACCAGTTTTTCATTTTTGTGCTTCTGATATTGAGTCGGCTAAAGTAAAGTTACTTTTGGAGTTCTGCAAGGCTGCGTTCCTGGTCCTCCTCTGTTCAGTTTATATGCCCTCATCTGTCCTTAGATAAAAACACAAATCACTTTGCTTCTAAGGAGAGCCGCCAAAACCTGTTAAAAACTTACCAAAGCTTACAGACTTTCATCAACTTTGACCTTTGACCTGCTGAGATGGAGCTCTGGGGTTTCTGGTCGTTTCTGATGTTGGACTGAATCTGCTTCACTCCTAGGAAGACTGAGAAGTTTTCCTCTTGGGAAAAACCTTCCTCCCTGCAGACTAATCTAACAGACCAATGATAGTTTAGAGATGACCTTTGACCCCTCCCAGGTTGCTGAGCAGCAGTTGCTTCTCTGTGATCATTGCTCAGCTGTTGCAGGTTGAAGCTGAAGTAAACTCAGTAGTAAACTGAGTTCTCCTGTTAATTGCGTTAGAAGCCACCGGGGTGTACTTAGTTTCCGTCACAGCTTCTCCGCTGTCGTTTAATTTGTAGTGATTCTGTCACGCTTGTTGCTTATGTGAGATGGTATTCGGCTCTTTGTAAGACCTGCTGAGGACCGGATGATCCCCTCAAATCAAATCCCATAGAAATAAGATTCAGTTCTTGGTTTTTTCTGGGACTTAGTTCTTCCAGCAGCAGAACGATTTAGGAGGAGTTTTACGTGATGACATCATCATCACAGACTAGTGGGGAGGTTCAGTTCTGACAAATTTGTCGTTGACGCCCTTCCTGCGTTGCAAGCCTCAGAATATTACCAATAACGGCAAACTTGACAGACAAACATGCATTGCTCGTTTCGGTCTCTGAGGGAGCGTCCCTGAGACCTGGATGATGCTTCTGAGCCGGCTGTTTGGAAAAGCTTGCACGGCTTCCACGGCTGAGCATATGATCTCATCAAAGTCCTCATACCCCCTCCACCCCCCTCCAGAAGAATTACCACTCAGCATTTACTCCAGTTTCATCTGCAGTCTTGGTGTGACAGCTCAGAGAGAGGGGCGCTGTGAATGACTGGCTTGTGTTTGGGCCGTAAGCTCCGTCCGTGGCTGCGGGTCCGGAGTCGTTCTGACTGCGTGTCGGTTCCGTTTGCAGATAAAGTGGAAGAGATGACGCACGCCCAGAAGAGCTCACCTGTGGACACGAAGATCGCCACCATCAAACCTCGGCCCTCCAGTCGCTGCTTGGTCACTCCCACCGACATGAATGTAAGCACTTCAACTCATTTATGGAGCAACAAACGTGAAAACATGTTGGACTTCAGTCATACAAGGATGAGTGTCATAGGAGTAACTCAGGGTTTTACAGCCCTGAACATGAATTATTGAAACCAGCCTCCATGTTTTTAATGATGTAGAAAAGTAAAAATCCCAGAACATCCCAGTTCGGTTCTTTTTCTGGGTATCCTCTTTCCAGTCAGCCAGACTTTAACTTTTATTTGAGATTCAGAAGCTTTTTGACTCATTTTCAGATCTGTTCTTGTACCAAACCACTGAAACATTTTAAATTTGACAGATTGAAAAGTGGATTAAGAAGAACAAAGCAAACTCTCCCCAGAAGATGAACGGTATCGAAAAATGACATTTTAATAAATTTGAATTAAAAAAAAAATCATCCACCAAAGATTTTATCCAGCAGGTCATTGGGATCATTCAAGTTTTGCTACTTTTGCTGTTTTTCATGGATTAAATGAAAGAAATAGGGATTTACTTTTTCTTCTGTCACCTGCTGTTGATTACAATGAAATAAAATTTATTTTTCTAGTGATGCTTTACATCAACTCGGCGCTGATTCGTCCTTTGAGTTTAGGATGAACTGATCAGAGATTTGTGGCCAATTTCTGTAAATATTTGACCTGCTGATGTAGATTTCATTTAATTCCAGAATAACTAATGGAACTAATTCCATTAGTTATTCTAACTCTAAAGCACTAACCATAAACATTAGTTCCTCTAACTCTAAAGCACTAACCATAAACATTAGTTCCTCTAACTCTAAAGCACTAACCATAAAAATTAGTTCCTCTAACTCTATAGCTTTAATCATAAACATTGGGTCTTCTAATGCTAAAGCACTAACCATAAACATTAGTTCCTCTAACTCTAAAACACTAACCATAAACATTAGTTCCTCTAACTCTAAAGCACTAACCATAAACATTAGTTCTTCTAACGCTAAAGCACTACACCAGCACAGTAGTTAGCAGAAGTTGATGCTAAAGCGCTAATTTGAATTCAGATTCAGCGCTTCTGGTTGCTTTTGAAGAAAACATAAATAAATGAGGATAAATCCCTGGACTAGATTCTGCTAATGCCGCTTCTTAGAGGGCTGCAGAAAAGTGTGTGTCTGTTTGTATCATAAACAACATTGTGATTTTCAGTCCATGTATCACGACCGCCAGGGAGTAGCAGTGGTGCCGCCCACTGTGCCGGGAGCCTACCTGGGGATCCCAGAGAAGGGCACCATGAGGAAGCAGAAGTCTATAGGTAGGAACCATGTGGAGTTGGTGTGTGGGGGCGTCGGCTCGCCTGCATGTCCTTTAGCTTTCAGCTGGTCAGACTTTCCATCAGGGCTCAGAGGAACGACTCTGTGTGCCGCAGCAACTTTACAGCTAATTATAGATCAATTAAAATGATCCGGTCAGCAAAGCGCGCTTTCAGGGGGAACACTGGCGGTCATTAGGCATTTGCTGAAACAGCCAGAGGAACGTCTGATTTGAAATGTTATTACAGCAAAGAAACATGACTATGCACAGAGCAAATGTGTAGTTTGAAACTGATTAAATCAGATAATCTGATTGGATTAGCTCCTATTTACATCTACAATCCAGTTTAAATTAATGCAAGTTCAGGAAAAATTACATTATCCTGCTGTTGTTACTCCTGACTGAACAGTACGAAAAGCAGCAGCTTGAAAAAAATCAGACATCGCTTCTTTTACGTGACAGGATGTGACATCAGACAACCACATTAAATGTTTTTATTTTCTTTTAATTTTACATTTTTATTGTATTATTTCATGTTATGAACTGACACAAAGGTTCATAACATGATGCTGAAGTGGAAGCAGAACGATGTGTGGTTTTAGTGACCAATGTGGAGAAAGACAGAAACGAGCTGCAGATGTATTATCCATGGTCAGAATGTGGTTTTGTGTTTTGACCAGTTGTTCTCACCTGATGTGTGCTGCCAGAGTCTGCCAGCCAGACCCCATCCGGTTTCTCAACAAGAGACAGAATATTTGGTTTAACAGACGAACCCTAAAATAAGCCTGAACTCTGACCCCTGGAAGAGAACAACCAACAGGAACTTCCTCTGTAGTCCTGGTTTTTGGATTGTTTGAGCTCAAACTGGTGCAGAATCTGAGTCTGTATCCCTGAAAATAAAGACTTCTCTTAACATTTAAAATTAAGATCAAAAAGGTTAAACTGGAGCTCACATCAGGAAGATGATGTCAGATGTAGAGATGTCAGCTTCTCTTGGGTTATCACTTACTGGCTCTCTATGCTTCATTCCCTTAAGGTACGTCGGAGGATGATAAACAGGGACTCCTCACGCCTCCCCTGCTCAAGTTCTCCCGGAGCCTCTCGATGCCTGACACCTCAGAGGACATCCCGCCTCCCCCAGCGATTTCTCCCCCTTCACCACCTGCCTACAACTCAGCTCCCGGACCTACAGCCAAGAACTACGGCACCACTCGACCGAGCTTCACCCAGAACTCGCCCAACGCCGTGACGACCATCAGCCGGACCACCGATGTCGGCAGGTTACGACGTGGATATTTCCGCCAGAGCTCTGAGCAGTTTGAGAGCACGCGCACTAGAGGGCGCACACCTGTACCCGAGAACCCTTACTCCGAAGTCGGCAATAAGACTCTGTATGTGCCAGCGAAACCAGCTAGAAGGAAGGGAATGCTGGTGAAGCAGCCAAATGTTGAGGACAGTCCAGAGAAAACGTGTCATGTGCCATCTAGTCCCTCAGGCCCGGTTTCCATGCCAACCACACCTGTCGAAAGGACCTGCTCCTCCATCCCCATACCCACCATCATCGTTAAAGAACCTTCCACCAGCAGCAGTGGCAAAAGCAGCCAGGGTAGCAGCATGGAGATTGAACCCACTACGCCAGAACATCCGCCTCTAACGCCCTCCGTTGGTGGGAGCGGAGGGTTGCGTCCTGAGGACCCGCTGTCTCTTAACAACCCGTTCGCTGCAGCTATTGCCGGAGCGGTGCGCGACCGTGAGAAGAGACTCGAGGCGAAGAAGCACTCGATCGCTTTCCAGTCAATAGACATAGGAGATGATGAAATGAGTGGCCCTGCACCGACCCCTCGTCTTCGCCAGTCCAAGTCCATAGATGAAGGCATGTTCAGCAGTGATGAGCGCCTTCGACGGATATTGGCTCCTCCTTCTACAGTGCAGCTTGGACCCCCTGTTGGTGGTGGCAGTGGAAATATGACAGATTTCAACACGCCTGAGCCCACAGTGGTTCGGGAGCCTCTGAACACGAGAACAGGCCAGTGTCCCAATCTGGACAGTCCAGTGAGTCTCCCAGCCACTCCTCCTAAGAGCCACTACAAGGCTAATGGGACCTACCTCCATCCTGTCACTGGTAAACCTTTGGACCCGAACTCTCCTCTGGCTCTGGCTTTGGCAGCTCGTGACCGGGCCATGAAAGAGCAACAGAACCATCCTCAGAATCAGCCAATAAATCCTCCTCAGGTTCAGCAAACCTCCACGCACGAAGCCCAGTCCCTGCCACTTCAGCAGAGTCACAAACCGGACCTCAACCAACCGCTTTTTATTGACACCAAATTACGCTCGGGGATTGAGACCAGCTTTGCAGCGATCTCCTCGGCCACCATGGGGCGGCCGGGTCGAGGTGGCCTCCGGCGACAGATGACAGAGCAGAAGTATGAATCTGACGGCGCGCGGGAGCAGCGGCAGCATCAGACCGTCGAGGAGAGAAAAAGTGCGCCAGCAAATGTGGCAGACTCGTCACAGCCCAAGTCAACTGGGCTGTTGATGGTCCACACGAGCACAGACACAACAAACAAGACGAACAACCAGGAGGTAGAGGTGCAGGAGAGCAACCGACCCTCTGAGCTGAAGGACCCTAACCAGCCTGACCCTCACAAAGTCCCAACCCTTATTTCCAATCCTCAGCAAGCTGCCTCACGGAGAAGAAGTGTTCCTTTAGGAGAATCTTTGGAAGAACCAGTGAAGCTGCCCTTCCGCATCCCCCCTCCACCGCTAGCTTCAGTCGACATCGATGAGGATTTTGAATTTTCAGAGCCTCTTCCCCCACCGCTGGAGTTTGCTAACAGTATTGACATTCCTGATGACCAGGCCAGCGCCATTGCAGAAATGATTCAGCAACAGAGACGGAATGGAGGACCTGCTTTACCCCCTTACCATCCACACGCCCCTCCATCTGTCAGTGATCACCACAAACGCGTGTTAAACAACATGCCCCCTTCCTACCATCCAGCTCCACCTGATACAGAGTCCGGGGTGGCGGATTCTGGCATCGAGGAGGTAGACAGCCGCAGCAGCGGAGATCCCCAGCACATGGAAACCACCAGCACTGTCTCCAGCATCTCCACCCTCTCATCAGAGGGAGGCTTCTGCGACAGCACTTTGGAGAGTCTCTACGCCACCGCAGATGGACACGCCTTCCTGGTGGACCGGCCCCCTGTCCCACCCAAACCCAAGGGCAAGTCCGTCATCAACAGAACATCGCTTTATCACGACGCTCTCATTGAAGAGCCCCCTGAGTCTTATGGGTCACCGCCTCAAGCGCCTCCCCCTCCCCCTTCATCTTCTGAGCCTCCTAGGACTCCTTCACAAAGGACATCCAAGCTGTGGGGCGATCAGCCGCCCGAGCTACGCAGCCCCCCATCCACACCAGACTCCAAGAACACGGTGATTACCGAGCTCAGCTCGATCCTGCAGCACATGAATCGCGATAGGCCGACCAAGCCAGGAGAGGGCCTCGACTCCCCCACTGCGACCAGAGGGGGCTTCACATCCAGGTACGACATATTCATGCCTTAATCTCCTTCTGCCAGAATATGTGACGGTTTGAAGTTCAACATTTGTCGTTGAGAATTACCGAGTCTTTCAGGAGTTTGGGACACCCAGCTCGAGTGATTGGTTTGTCCTTTGGAGACTGGATAGTTTGGTTATTTGCTTTTCTTACTCAGGTTGGTGTTTGTTGCTTCAGCAAAGAAATTCAGCTAAAGAAATATTGTTTGTGGGTTGAGATAAGGAACTCCTTCTGAATTCAGTATTAGCTTAACTGAGATGTTGCTTGAATTAACGAGAATCCTTCAAGGTTTACTTGTTTGAAATCTTCGTCCGTCAGATCAGGACCAATCGTAAGTCAGTCCTCTGTGGGTTTTGGGATGGATTTAAGAAAGAACTCTTATTTTTTCCTTTATGTTTCGTTGCAATGGCTAAAATACGTAATGAACACAAGAACTGTCTCCACAATGGATGAAAAGTTGGAATGATGCAGAGAAGAAGCATCAAACTCACTTTGTGGGAAAGTCTCTCTTGGTAATGAGATGATTTCTCCTGATTGGAGAAACCAGTCAGATGTTACTCAGGTGTGATTCTGACCCAGTCTTCACATACTGAAGAGTCAGGGGTCTTTTCTATACTCCCTGATCTTCATGTCTTTCCAGTGCTGAATGTGATGATAATTATCTAACTTGGGATAAATAATCAAAAACTGTTGATGTCCTTCTGCTTTGAGTTCAAACTTCACTGATTCGTTTGTCCAACTACTGAGAAAAAATCTGATTCTTTCCACCTCAACAAGGTTTTATTGAAAAACTTTGTTTCAAATAAGCAACTTTTCTGTAGTTTATTGAATTAAACAAGTGCCATCAGATATCTTACAGGCTTAGCAGCACAAACCAATATTCATTGCAGTCCATGTAGTTCTCCACAAAATGAGATTGTAGTAAATGTGTGGCATATTGTGCAGACTTGGTCCTTTCCAGAGTTTTTAAATTGAGTATAAGTCATTGACTCAGCCTTTTCCATTCTTGGAAACCAGTTAAGTGTTTGCTTGGCTTTGTGTTTCACACTATTGCCTTGCTTGGAAATTTTCATTTCATCTTCAGATTCTTATCAGAATCTCCCAGCACATTTCTCCATTCATCCTTCCCTCCTTTCTTCCACACAGTCATCAAATCCCAAATCCTCTGTGAACTCTGACCTTCAGTTCTTCCCATTGATTTTCTGTAGGCTTCAGTTCAGGCGATTGGCTCTGGCTGCTGTTTTTCTTTCTTTATCTTTTCTATCCTCATTTCATCTATTAAATGGCAGCAGATTTCCACCCATAATGTCTCAGTATTTTGGTCCATTCAGTTGTATAAGGTGTCAGTACTACATGCTGTAAGTGAACCCAAACCATGATGTTCCCAGTGTGCAAACTTGACTTTTTGCAGGATTTGTTCATGTTACATCATGGTGTGTTCAATGACTTCCAAAAAGTTCAGCTTTGACACAAACCCATCAGTGGACGACAAAGTTCGCTACGTCAGAACTTACTTTGCAAACTTCCTCTTTAGTACAGTAACTTTTTTTCAGAAAAGCTGAAAAAACCCCAAAAACTGAGGACGTTGTTTTGAATTTTGCTGTTTCCAAAAACCTTTTCTAGTTTGATACTTCAAAATATAAAAACTGTTGAAGGTTACACGGCTGATGTCCTCCTCAGAAATATTTAAATAGAGTAAAACATAAATATGTTCAATATTTATTAAGCCACTGTAACAGCTGGTAGTTTGTCATTGTGTTGCTCATGTGTTGAGCCTAGCAGTGCTGACCTTTAACCTCTGGCATTTAAAGTTAGCATACTGATGGGTTAGCATGATGAGAGGTGCTTTGTTTCTACTCTCCTCACTAATCCTGAAACGTTGAGTTTTCTTCCTGCAGTAACGACTTCCACACCAAAGATTGTTCTTGTCTTTCTGACCCGGTGGCGTGTTGGAATGATGCATTCAACAAAAATATTTGTGTGGATTTGCAAGAATATATATAAAAAGCAAAAACATAAAATTAGTAGAGATTACAGAACATTTAGTTTTCACACCAAAGTCAAATTGGAATTAAATACATTTGATAAATATAGGGTTTCAAGATTTTTTAAATAATACAGCAATTAAATCTATAGTTAAATAAATTCTGTGATAAATTAATTCAAATGAATTTTTATTTTAATTCACTAAGGTTGCATGATTTCAGCAAAATCTCTTCTTTCTTCATCACTACGTAACGTCCACTGAGGAAATCCACAAGAAAATGCAGAATTCACATTATTTAGACTCAAAATTTACTAAGTTAATTCAGCGTTACTGAATTCAGCAATAAAACAAATTCTATGACTTGTAAATTATCCATGTATTTGATTTAAATGTTAACTAATCATTCACACATTAAAGCGTTCACTCAGGTATTTATTTTCATAATGTCACTTATAGAGCTCCATACAGATTAGAGGCTGTAATTGGATTTTGCTGTCGATGAATCGATGAGATGAAATTTAAAGAAAAGTGCCACTTTATCAACTTTTTGTTATGAGCAGGAATGATGCAAATACAGCTGACACTGTTGGTTTATTTAGAAAAACGTTTCTTTCCGTTTCCCTTCCAGCAGCTGAAGCTTCCTGTTGATCTTTTAAATGGTTCTGATCCATAATCCTCCAGGTTTTCTGAAGACACTTTAGAGATCTTTTGGGGGGAATCAGGCTCCCAGCCTGGAGTAAATGTGGAGACATGATGATGAATCAGCTCAGCTTGTGGCTTTAACTCCCCTCACCCCCCACCATGTGAGACAGGAATAAAAAGCTCCATCAATAATTCACTTTTCACATCCATTTTGAATGAACAGTCCCATTGCTGAGAGAAAAGGGGATGCCAGCGCTCAGGTTCTCTGGGATCATGTTTGTCCTCCTTCATGTTTCCATCCTCTGATGTTCCTGTTTGTGTCTGTTGACGTTTCCTCCTTTTACTCATTTTCAGCTCCTGTCTCCTCATCTTCATTTCCCCCAGTGTCCTGTTGTCCCTTCACTTCTTCTTCTTCCTTCATGCCCCCCAGTGTGTCCCACCTCCACAGGTAGGTCCCAGCAGCTGCTCAGTGCCTTCCTTTGTTCATGTCCAGATGCTCCACTGAGTTCACAGTTTACAGTATAAAAGCAAAAGTTCAATGAACTTTATGCAAACACACTAAGTGACATAAGTACTGACACCTTCACTGATTTTCTAAGTAAATATTTTACCTAAAAATGCTGTTCACATTAAATCAACAGCATTTTGGTAAAAACACAATACAGATGGTCGTAAATATAGGGTTTGTGTAATAGAGAAAAGTCAGTGGTGGACACTGAAAGGTTAGCTGTGCTAACCCTAAAGCACTAATCATAAACAGACGTTTCACTAACGCTAATGCACTATTTAGCGTAAGCTAATTCTAAAGAGCTAAAGCTAAAGTTCAGCCATGTTGATACCCACTGTGTGTCTGTCACACAACATATTAAATTATAACATTAACATGGCTGTTATTTCACACCTGCCTGTATGTTTTCCGCTTCAGGAAGTGATTCATTCTTCCAGTTTTATAATTGTTGAGTTTTTCTTGCTCTGTTGCTGATTTTGCCTCATTGATCACAGTAGAGCTTTGGTCACACAAGACATCAGCAGAGTTTATTGGAGGTGTAGCGGCTAAAATCCTATATTTTAGGCTACTGGTGGTTGTTCTTGAAAGGCGTTGGTTTTACGTGTGCTCAATTAAGATTCATGATGCCGATCTTCCGTTTGACATAAAATAAAGTCATTTATTTTCAGAACAATGTCCATTGTCTTACTGTTTCCATTTAGATCCAAACCAACACAGTAGAAAACTGTTTGCCTCTACCCATTAACAACCCCTGAACAGAATTGATGGTTGACCTTAAATAACCCATCCCCCCCATCAGACACTCAGAACTCAAAATTAAATATGCCCCCTGGTGGCGATACATATCAAAGGATAAATGGCTCCTACAGGAGGAAATAGAACTGCTGTGTAAACAGTCTTCACCCACTTCAAAATAAGAGCATGAATATAAACGTCTAACTACTTGGAGAATTTTTCAAAGTCGATAACCAGAACATTAACTCATCTGTCGAACTTTACTCAACTGAAAGTTTAAAACACGTTTAACGCTTAAGAATTTATTCAGAAAAATTTATTTAGTGGAAGCTAAGTGTGCTAAATGTTTTTAAAGTTAGAGAAAAAGTTAAGCTAAAAGGTAAAATTAGCTCTTTTATTAGCGCATTGACAGAAGCGAGCCTACGACTGGGAAAAGTGTGTAATGCACTCACTGAAAAGAGTGTAATACTTGGTAGTTTCGTGTTTGTTGGTGATGGCAGCTATCAGATCCTTCCTGTGGGGAGAAGCTCGTTGCATTCAATGAAAATGAAAACACAAACTGTCCTCATGCCCTCTTTATTTTCCTTGGCTATGTTGTGGGTCCTCCATCCATCCAAGTTTCATCTTCATCACCCTGGTAAATGGCAGCTGATTCTTACCACAGACGCCCCATCACTGGGAAAAAACTGGTATGCTTATTTTTATCTTAAATATATTTTCTAAGTTTTAGACAAAACCATAATTTTCAGTTTTTCAAATTAAGAAAACATTTGGCCCTAATTTAGCTCCGTAGAGGTTTCCCTCAGGACTTTAACTCTGTGTAACAGCACAGATAGAGCTCACTGGGTGTGTAATAGCACCTGTGCTGTAGGTTCTGTTCTCCCGGTGCTGAATCTCATTCAGACCAAACCGGTTCAACTCATCCTCCTCCAGTCCGTTCCTCTGCCTGTAATCTCGTGTTTTTGGATCCAGTTTGTCGTGTCATCTCGCTCTCGGGATGCCGTGGGGGTCTCAGATTATCTGCCCCTGTGCTGCGGGGCTTCACGTTGCCGTGGCGAGGGTTGCCAGGCAGCAGGATGAGGTTGTAGGTGGGGGCGGGGGGGTCATGTGCAGA